TGAACGATCGCGTATTGCATTTTCTACGCGACATATCTTCGTGACAAAAAGAAGGTTTAGCGTTCCACAAAAGTCAACGGGAGATCGTAGGTAAGTTGGCTCGCGTGCGAGATCAATCGTTAGATACAAGGATGGGCTTTTGTATACCTATATCCCTGATTCTTTTTTTATCTAATGAAACCTTCAAGCGAAATTATAATTTCTTATCAAAAAGAAAAATAATTATTTAAAGAAAAAGATTTCTCAACGTCAGAGATATAAAATATATCTGTTCCTTTGTTGTATCATTTTTAGTACATTGTTTAAAATAACTTCAAGAAATGTTTTCTGCATTTCTTTTATTTTATAAATAGTAAGATAGTTTAAAATGAAAATATGAATTTTAAAAATATATTATTTTAAATATCTATTACGTTGTTGATTAAATAAAAGGAAAAATTCGATAAATTAACGATCTGTAGAAATATAATGCAATTAGCAAGAATGAAATTGCGCAAATCGTGTTATGTATAATACACAATATGCGGGATTATTAAGGAAATGAATTAAGATGTAATGGAATACATAAATAAACATGCAGTCGATTCACCTACGTTTCCCCGTCTGCGCTGCGTGAAATGCAATAAATTCCAAGTAATTTACTTTCATAGAATTGCCCTTCTCTTCGACTTAAAAATATTTCTCTCACATCGAAGCAACGCGTTCCTTCAAAACGTGCATCACGACAGAAGCAAACCAAATATTCTTGTACGCGTGAAAAGAAATTTCAAAAATATGAAAGAGAAGTTCCATAGCTTCGTACAATTCGTGACTTGTAAATTCGAAATTCTCTGCATAGAAGACTATTTTGATAACAAGGCGCACCTTTCCTTCCAAGGATACCTGCACGTTTCAAATGTCGCGAACCAGCGAGATTTCAAATCGACGCGTGCAATTATTCGAGAAAAGTTTCCGGAATTTGTTTTGCGAAATTAAGTTATGTCCGTAATACGGCATTAGTAAGACCGCTTACAGCACCGTCACGCTATTGCGGTGCTTGTGAGTCATTGGAACGTAACGTGGCCGGTAATAATATCACACGAAATTACGGCGCGAGAATCTCTCGCGCAGAAAGAATTTAATCTCCATGCAATTACGGGAATAATAATCGCCCCGCAACGGGTGGATTGTGCAACGCGATACTCGCGGCGCGGGTTCGGCGCTTTTTATTCGTGCGACTACGTTGGAGAACCGATCGTCGCCGATGTCGTAATTGATCGACGCACGCTGGATGGATGTAATACGTGTGGATGTAATAAATAATGAATGAGGTGCAACGTACCTTCGGCTCGGATCTAGCGCGGCTTCATTAATTATTCATCAAAATCTAATTTCAAAGATGGAGGGAAGGAAAAGCTAAATGAGCTGATTATTCAGAAGGTGGGTGAAATTAAGTTTTGAAAACCTTATCGAGATCATAGAATTGATTTAACATAACTGAGTTTTAATAATAAAATTTCTCTCAGTCAAAAAAGATGTTTGGCGTTCTGCACAAAAAGCAAATATTTTCACAGAATCATAAAATATTCGATAATTCGAAAATTTTCTGAATTTTATATTTTTTTACAATTTTAATAAAATCGCTTAAGAATTCAAATATTTAAATAGATATTTGTATATTATTAAATATGTTAAATAAATGCATAATAAAAATATAAGATATATATATTTCATGGTTGACACAATTTTTGTTTTAATATTTAAAATTAATCGAACACGATTACGTTATAATTTCGTCTTCGACTATTTCAAAGTTAAGTCAACTATATTTATGTGATTATTACGAGATAACGAAAGCGTTAACTATATGTTGATTCCGCAATACTTCGAAGAGAGCGTCGACGGGTGTCGAAAGTATTTTTATTAAAGCGCCCTGTCTCGGAACGGCGGCCATTATGACGGCGAAGAAGGATGGTTCGGGGATTCTAATTTATTATCCCCTTGAGCTAGCCCACACGGTGGCTCGTCGATGTAAATCCCGGCACGATCGATAGACACACCTCGGCCGCTTCGACCGAAGGTGGAGGTTTATAACTAACCGGGGTGAAGGAACTCTTGAATCTTGCGCGACTGTAGATAGGACGAGGGAACTTCCTCGGCCTGTTCGTGTCTTGGCTGGCGGAGCGAAAACTTTCCGCGGAAGCGCGTACGTCTTTTCACGGGTACCGCTCCATTCTAACAATAATAAAATCATGTCGATCCGCGAACGACTTCCGAATTCATCCTCCAATAGGAACTAACTCTCCAGACTTTTTTTTAAAACGAACGACGTTGCATCTAATTTTTCCGGATCCGACTCCGGGTCGGCGCTCGAATAGATATTTGCGAACACAGAATCGACATAATTTATAAAAAGGATTCAACAACCGTGAAATTTGCGCTATTTATGCGATAGGGCAAGGATGATGCTAAATACAGAGAAAGTCTCAAAGGAGAACAAAGAGAAGAATCGAGAGATTTTTCACGATTCGAGAGATTCTGCCATTCGAGTGAATAACTTACGCTAAGAGAAATCGTTATATATATATATATATATATATATATATATATATATATTGTTAGTATATAAATAATGTTCAGAAAAGTAGTACAAAAGCAGAAAGCGCTTAGAATTGTTATATTAACAACAATTTCATGGTTTAGGAAGAGGGGTCCATATAATTTTTTAACTCGATTGCATTTTGTACTTATTTCAACGTTAGGGTAACCGAGATTACCGTAGAAATTGCTTAGTTTTATGAATCTAGCGCGATCTGCTCGGTTCCCAGTTTTCCGAGAAGAGAAAGAATGATTGATCGCGACGACGTGCGAAACACGTTTGCGGCCGCGTGTGATGAATCAACCGACACACGGACCAACTGCCAAAATTAATTATCTCGTCAGGAGTCACTCGGAACCATCTAAATCACGCGATTGCAATTAAGCTCAGCCGCGAGTTTGTCTTGAGAAAGTATAGGTACTAAACTGGAAGCGAGCTCGGATGCGTCGTTGGTACGTTGAATAAATAACTGCGCAGTAACGCAACGGCCCTGCGATTTGCTTTGAGATATCCGCGAAATTACTGCAATGCTATACGGTACAACGAATGACGCGATCTACCGTGTGTATACATTCAGAAACTCGCCGTGATAAGACATATAGGCTTGGTCACAGCAAGAGACGCCGGCAGATTGCGACAAACGAAACTAGGCTGGCTTTAATTGTGTATTCAGTGTATTAAAAGGCAATAAATTTTTTAGAAATTATAGCAACATTCAATCAAGAGGATGGTGTTATAAATTTTATCTTTGTACATAAAACACATTAAACTGTGAACTCATCTTATTTTCACACTCTCCAAAAGTGTGATAAAATGTCTCAAAGATTTATTGCAGCGTTTAATTTGCGAACATTAAATACAGAGTTGGACACATTGTAATTTAATAAAGGCTTTTTATGTGCTTCTGGCTAGAGCTGTAGTGCGACAATGTGAGAGACCTCTGGTTGTTAAGTTGTTATTACGGCGCGATGAAATACACTAATCATTTCATGTCGTACGGCTTTAAAACAATCTCAGATCTATATCGAAAGAAATTTCGAGCAATTGCGAGGCGAATAAAAGCGAGTATAATTTGAAAGCTGAACCTGGTAATCATTTCTCTCTTCTCTCTCTTTCCCGAGGATGGATAAATAAACCTAATCTTATACAAAACTTGAGGTTCGAGCGTCTAAGCTTGGAACGTAAGTTCAAAAATAGCTTATCCACTTGTCTAAGAAGAGAACACTCGACTCGTGTACTTCTCGAGAAAGTTTCGGAAGAACTTTCGAGGAATCAAGTACCTAAGTAGCTCGCTTTCGAACGTCCCTAGTGCAAAATTAGAATCGAGTATCGAGTCAGGATAGTTAACGTAAGAATACTAAGAATTGAAGAGCTTCGGGAGGGCGATGGAATTCCACTGTGTCGCCGCTATTCTTTTCCGATATACAGAACAATCGCGTCACAAAAGTTTTCAATCATTTAAAGGTGCAATTTCATGCTGACGCTCATTTTTAGCATCAAAACAGATCATATGATCAAAATTAACGAATACCAAGCATCAATTTTGATCATAAGTCAGGCGTCAGCATGAAAAGGTACCTTAATAGTGAGCGATGCCCCGTTGCCGTGCCGTTCCGATTCGCAAAAATTTCATCTTCGCGATCTGATCGCGACTGATTCGAAAAGCGCAACCCGGATCATGCACCCGCGGAGCAAGTGACTTTAATTTTACGTCGATTCGCGTGGGCGAAAACAACGGATGAATTAGCGAGACGGACTCACGCGTGTAAACTTCGATTAGTGCGTATCACGCGACTCGTGCAAAATCGAGAGATATATAAATTCAACAATCGTCAGTCCACGTTTCCTTATTAAAGATTCGTGCAAATATGTATTCTGTGCGACGTATTTTAATACGCCATTGTGCCTGACAACGTATAATTATCGTGTAATGAATTAACGTATAATGAATTATTAATCATCTACGCATTACATGTATATTTTTTTAGCTGCGTGCTATTAATCTCTCTGACATTGATTGCGCTTAATTACAGTTCAAACAAAACGAACTGACGCCGTAAGTAGAGTAAGAAGGAGAAAAAGACGGGAAGGAAGGAAGGGAGAAAGAAAGTTTGGATGGGAATAGGAAATGCAGTTAAAAGGCGCATTTATAATTTTCATTCAAAGTTTAAACTTTGATTAAAGGTTACTTTAACGCGAAACATTTTGTAAGAATAATTAAGAAATTGTAAAAAAATCATTCTCTATTTGAAGAATAGTATAGAAATTATTGCGCTCGAAATGATTTTACAATATATCCCAAAAGTTCCACATATTTCGTGTTCGCAAAAATGTACATACTTTTGGGCAGAATATGAGATACAAATTTCCGTGCATATATAATACAATAATTAAATATATAAAATAAAATCGAAACACTCACGCTGGCTCTCCGTTCTGCTCGACGCGGACGATGTTGCCGCTGAGGGTCTCGATCTCCTGCGGCCGCTTCACCGTGTGCACGCCCGTTTTCTCCCTCGGCGAGGACACCCCTCTGACCGTGTTCACGCTCACCCCCGTGTCCGTCGACCTCACGCTCTCGATCGAGTCCGTGGACACGCCGGTGGACGACTTCAAGGACGCGTCGCTGCCGCGATTCTTGTTCCTCGTACGGACCACAGCATCACTGTTCACACCTGCGTTCACTGCACCGACTGCGGGATTCACACTGTTGTTGCCCCTCGCCACGCTGTTCGTCGTCGTCGCGTTGTTACTCGTCGCGTTATTCGTCGCCTCCTCGGCCGCTCTGACCTTTGAATCGTTCTCCATCACCGTGGGCATCTTGTCGTTCGCCGGAACGTCACGACTCGTCGTCATCTTGCCGCCCGCGGAGCCGCTCTTGACCTCCGCCGGCGCCATCGAAGCGGCTTCCGGTTCTTCCGAAACCTTCCCGCGAGCGTTCTGACTGTTCCTGCCGGAACGCTGATTGGCAGAAGACTGATTGGTGGAACGCTGATGTACTTCGTCGTTGATCCTGACGCTCTTCACGGATTGACTGATACTGCCGCTCTTCGAGTGTCCTCCGGTGCCACCCTCCGCGCCGACGGGAGAGTCCTTCTTATCGTTACCAGAATTAATCGCTTGACTCGTCCTGACCGATTGATTTTCGACAAACGGCGACGTCTGACCCGGCAATGCTGCGTTCGACGTCGATACAGGCACCGGCGATTCGCCCTTGGATGCGGGAGAAACGGAGGACTTGAGCGTACCGTCGGACTTCTGCTGATTCGTCGTTGAACCATCGTTGCGTTCCACGAGAAGCGCGTTCGCGTCGAGATGCAGCGGTTGCACCGCCGTGGTCGTCGTGGTGTTCACTAGACGTTCGCTGGACGTGCCGACCGCCTGCGAGGTCTGTTTCAAAAGATCTCTAAGATCGGGCACGTCGTCTCCGTTGGCCGAGGAGTTACCGTTCATTCCGTTTTCCTTCGATTCCGATCGACCATTCTGAACTGGCTGACCGGTCTGCTCGTCGCTCGTGTCTTCCTTCACAAACCTTTCCGTCTTTCCGTTCTGCTGGGACGTCGAGATGAACCTGACGGTATTCGACAGGACGTTCGCCTTGCTCTTCAGGGGAATCCTCGACGGCGAGAGGAGACGGTCCTTGCTGGGGCTTTTTTTCTGATTGTCCCTTCGAGTGACGTTGTTCTTCTGCGGCGACGTTCTCGATGCCTTCGTGGGAGACTGCCTCGTGGCATCCTTCCCTCTTACGTTCGATCGAGGGGTAGTCGTCTTCTCCGGTTTCGTCGGGGTGCCTTGGATCGGCGAGAGTCGCGTCGTCGAGCCTTTCGTCGCCGGCTGTCGGCGCGTCGTCGAGTTACTGATGAGATTACTGGTGGAGTTGGAGATGAAGCGGGTCTTGGCCTCGGTCAGATTCGTACGACTCCGGGAGTCGGACTTGTTCAGACGCGTCTTCGAGTCGTTCAGCCGCGACTTCGAATCGGCCAAGTTCAATCGACCATGTGAATTCGCGACATTCAGCCGCGTTCTCGAGTCGACCCGGCGACCGATCTTCGGCGACGGCGAACGCTCGTTGTCCTTCGTCAAGGAGGTGGACCGCTGACGATAAGTGGGCTGTGGTATTAGGCTCCTTCGGGGACTGTTCTGCTGCGACAACGACACTGCAAGACATAACAAGTGTTTCAACAAGGACCGCAGTTGAAAAGATTATTTATTCTAATATGACTATGTTAAACTATGCATAATCTTGTCTTATATTACTATTATTATTTTGCATTATACAACGTTACATACAAAGCAAATTTTTATTTATAAATTTGTCCTTTAACTTTTCTTTAATATAAATCACAAGACGACACGTCATTTAATTTTAATTTTCAGCATAAAGTACATAAATAATTTTCACACAAATAAAGCTTTTCTCAACGATGTAGAAATATCACACAAAATTTGTGAAATATATCTAAAAATCAATGTTTTTTAAATATTTTAGCAGTCTGAGATAAAAATATTTTATCAATGTAATATCAGAAATTCTATTTTATCTTAGCTCTCCGCGATGTTACAACGAAGATTATTAAATCTGACTCGTTCTCGATAAAAACTCGATAACTAAATCACCTCTTCGCTCGACTCTGCGACGACGTCCGTCAACTTCCGGCGACTGCGGCCTCGACATTGAGCGAGGGGGTGGCCCCTTGAAGCCGCGTCCGCGGAAGGGCGAGACCCTCCCTGTCGGCAAGGTGGCATCGCCGGTTTCCGGACTCGCCGGCCTGGACTCGGCGAGTATTACGAAGCTGGAACGACGGTGCGCTCTGCCGAAGGACGTCGACGTCGGCGGGGCGATCTTGTAGGGTTCGGGCGCGCGCGGGGGCGGCGGCGCCGGCACGGGGGGCGTCGGCGACAGGTACATATTGTCGGGAACGGCCAGCACCCGGAAGGGCGGCGGGCCCTGCCGCGCGACCTGGCCGTCATCGGTCCGCCTCATTCTTACGAGGCCCTATCTTTCATTGGGAAAATCACAACGTTAATACGATCGATCTTTGCGCTTGTATTAAATTTATTATACAAAATATTCGGAGATAATTACGTACTTTAACGTTTTAATAATAATAACGAAAGCATTGCAAAACTGTAAGATTATCTACTGAATCTTAGAATTATCACACGTAATATATCTTTATTAAAATTATTTAAATCAATCCAATTAATATTGCGTTCAGGAATTAATTATTACATACTTATTTAATAAGTACTAAATTTATTAAATAAGCGCTAAATTTATTTTTATACATCTAGATTTTTCTTTAATGTTCTTTTATATAAATAAGAATAAATTTGTGCAGCGTGCGGTAAAATTATTTTTACTTTACCACAGTACTTTTATTTTATTTAATATCATTTAATTCCAACACGCACATTAACTTTAAACAACTTATATATTTATTACGTGTTTATTCTTTAATTTGTTCTACGTAATGTAATTGTAAGCTCAAACGTTCGTACCTGGAGCCCTTCATGCAGATCACTGAAGTGAGAGGGACACCGAGATCCGCCGTTGCTCCCACCTGCACAGAATAGAAATCTCCACTGAGAAAGAGAGAGTGCGTGACCGTCGTTAAAAAGTATACGGAGAAATTTTTATTTCGATAAAAGTCGAGATAGCGGAAGATTGCGGTTCCGCCCGGCGAGGCGGATGGAAAACCGCAATTGCAGAAATAAAAACGGACCACTCCCGACCATCCCCGATCGATCGATAGCTCGCGCGCAGTGCGAAAAATTTAAACAAACATCGCATTTTCTTTTTACATTTATTTTATATTTTATCTGTTGTAACGAACTGTGGTTCGTTCGTTACTTTCGGTATCAATAGTACCAAGCGTTCCGCCGGTCGATTCATCGGTAAATTATATTGATAGTATACGAGGAATGGATCGATACGGCGCTCGGATTTCCATATAATTACCGTCCCGTCGACAGCGGTTCTTCGCGAGTCACCGTTCGCGGAAAAAATAATCCGTCGAATGCAGGTACTCTTTCGCGAGATGTGGATGAACGTTTCTCCGTCCTCCGCGGACTCGGAAGGAATTAAGGAACGACTCGGCTCGGCGCGGCCGCCGGCAATTAACGAATGCGCGCGTACAATCATTCGTTCTGTGCGGCTTGGCACGTGTCCGGGCAACGAGAGTATCCTCCTTCTCCTCCTCCTCCCTCCCGGGTATAAGATACGAGGAACAACGCTTTATTCACGCTCTCGCAGACGATCGCCTGAGCGAATTCATCACGCTTACCGCTGAGCTACATTCACGATGTGGCCGGCGCATCGCATCGCATCGCATCGCATACGCATCGCATCGCACCGTCTCGTCGCGCAACGCTGCGTCGCCGTAATAAAGAAGTTCCGCGCGCCGCGACGTATACTTTACTTTCCAAATTCCGTCGGAGCTCACCGAGAGTAACTCAACGTCGAGTAATTCAATTCGATCGTCGAGACGCTCGCGACCGAGACGACCCCGTCGCGCGATAACCCCACCAGATAAATTGAAGATAATCCTCGCCTGAAATGATGAACCCGCTTGAAAATGCCTTTCTGGCACCGCGAGAGACGACGATCGCGATTTTTGCGACTTTAATTATTCCGTCGAAATCTGTCACGAGAATAGAACGAAAGAATGTCCTCGAAGAAGGTACTCAAGCGAACAGTCTATATATACGCGTCTCACTCTGTCAACCGCGACGAGTATTTTATTCGACCTCGCGATTAAGGTCTAGATCGGGACGAGCGGGAAATGTCCGAGGCGTAACTCACCGTTACAACTGCGACCGGGTGATTTACAAGCGTCGCACGCCCACGAATCAATGTACGGAGAGCGGGTACGGGAGCGTGAATGCGCCGTAAATCGTAAAACCGCGAGGCGGACTCGAAGAGCGGACGCGTGCACCGAGGCGGTTTCCGAGCGCGCGATTAACTCCTTTTAAATCGCAAATAGAGGAAGCATGCATGGTCGCATAAACCGAATTCGGCCTTCGCGTCCGGATCGAAAGCGCGGGTGTAAAATGCACACAGGACTGCGAACGCGAGTATAACTTTCGGTAGGGTATTTATTCGGCTATATTTACGTCCTCACGCTTTTCATTCTGTTCGCAATTTAATCCTATTTGCCCGAACTCGACCAAACTTCGCTCGATTTGCCCTTCTTCTTTATGCAGCCAAAAATATTTTACATAATAAAAAAATCCGTTAAAGACATGTTACACACTTTGCGCGGTTAGGAAAGAAAGGCACCCGCGCTTTTCCGCGGGAACACTCGCCGGCCCGGCGCCGTGGGTCTCGCGATTCGATAATAAGTTCGCGATTTCCATAATTCTCCACATCCGCTTATGCACCGATGCGCCGTGCACTCTACATAATTACCATCGTACGTCAATAACTGCACGTGAAGAAGACGGTGGGGAGCCCGAAGTAACACGGATCTCTTTTGGCGCATACACTTTCGTCCATCATGACAGCTCCTAATTGTCTCATTAAGTAAAAGAAAGACGCGAACGCCTGTCCATTATCATTACAAAGATTGGGACTTGAGATTTCCATCGTTACCCGGCTGTACGCCGTATTTAACGAATAGAAATTTTCGAGACCTGCGGGAAGAGTATATATAGAAATTTCAGCGCCGCAATTACGTTTCTCGTTATCAATCGAGCAGCTCATTACCGTCTATCCCGTTCGCATATTGTTCTGCGATTGTTGCGATTACCATTGCAATAATCATGGAATCGTGAAATTGTTTACCGTTGCTCTTTGCGCCGGCCGTTTAATACCGGCGATTTCGAAAGACGGAAATTGATTTTGATCGAAAAAAAGAATTGCGAAATAAAAAAAAAACTTTCGCTCCAATTAAACCGCACTTCTTTTTTTTTAATGACGCGCTAAGGCGTCGAGCATGACCAATTCCAAGTACTTATTACCTAACGCGTAGAAATTGCATTTACTCCGCGGCATCGCATCGCGTCGGGGAGTGAAAATCGAGAGCGCGCGGTAACGCTCTGCGTTAAAATATACGAAGAGATCAGAGGTCAACATCTGCAGCTGATTCCGTGCCTCTAATTTATTCTGCGCGACAGGTTGCATATTTGTAAATTCATATTGCATGTGTGCGCACCATTATCATTTAATGCACGCTGATTATCTCATTTATAGATATAGGACAGGAATATCCGTACTTCCGGCGTAGATATCCGACGTATATAAAGGCATTTGTTTTACTTCAATAAAGTTAAAAAAAAAGGAAAGAGAAATGATCGATGTTCTCTGTTGTAATTTCGATTCTCAAGGAGAACCTTCGATGCGCAAAATTTTACGACGCAGTTACGACACGGTCATATAATGTATACTGTACATATTTATGAAATTTGCTCTCTTCTGATATCGCTTATCGTGCAACACTTTTACGTTCACTCGTTGTGTCCGAACGACGGTACTCGCCTCCAATATGCAAAATGTACCGACCTATAAAGTTTGTTTGAATGCCATATACTTCTCTACGTAACGCGCAAATTTGACCTTTAGTCACTGTTTGGATACCCTAATCGATCACGAGAGGCCGGCGCTTAAATTTAAATAAGAACATCGCGCGTGTAGAAGTGACCGCGCGCCGCCGCCACCGCCGCCGCGATCTCGAACGTAAATTACGAGCAGGGGCATGTAGAACAAGTTATATCCGAATATCCGCCATCAATCGTGATTGCGAGCGCAGTGAAACTTCCGAGTTATATATATATACGAATATATTCGAAAATTATGGACCGAACTAAACTTGACTTGGTCACGATTGACTCGAGATCTCAAGTATTCTAAGTGGTCTCTAATATTATTAACTAAATAGTATTATCATCAGTAGTTTCACTTTTTTAAATGATTTGAATAATTGACAATGCTCAAACTAATTTTTCATCTTTTATCTTAAAACTTATTCGTCACGAAAATAAATATTTATAAATAAATAAGCAAATAAGGCAGAATATATAAAATTTGCAAAAATTATTATTAAGCAGAAGATTTTCCGTCGGAAAATACAAATATTTATTTATTTCGGAGTTTTAAACTCAAAATTTTGCGAGCTGTTTCAGACAGGTTGCTAAAATATTTAGATTTGGAAGATATTATTCAAAGGTATTGTCGCAACAATCGACCGTGCTCCGCTCTCTTCAACGAACTATGAGTTCCGGCACTATAAGTGTATCCTGACAACTTTGCTTCCGTAACGCACCAGGAAGAACTTTTCTCCTCTCACGTTCTAGTGACCGGTAAAGCGTGAACATCCGTCGTGTGATGAGACCGTAAGTACCGCCGATTCGCGCCGCGACAAAGTCGAGGAAGAGGCACGCCGCGCCCGCGTCCTTAATTAGCATCCGTCGCGTAATACGTAATTAAAGTGCCGTTGCCTCGCTTTCCAGACATCACGCATCGGCCGCGAATTTGCCGCTGTTGCAATCGCGCGTATCGCAATCGCATAATGCCGATCGGCGGAATCGAAGGAGAACGAAGAATGCAGATGCGGCGCGCGTATTCCGTGAGGGGTCAACGACCCTGGTTTTGCACCTGCATTTAGCGAACGGGGAGGTCCCGGACAGCGGGACATTTGCGTAACAATCGATTCTCCCGCGGAACACTTTGATCGTTTCATCGAACGCAAAAACGGCCTTTCGACCATTAAACATTCTTGGACTACAGTTAAAAAAACGCTTTTATTTATTATCTTTCAAAATCTGTGTAAACATGCTTCTCTTCTTTTCTATATATTTTTTAAGTATTCAGAAAGATTTCTAACTTCTCTTTTATATTTAAAATAGCTAATCGGACGAATAAAATTATCTTTTTAAAAAAATTGTTAAGTTTTATTTATTTTTATTATATTATTTCACAAGAATTATTATTTAATAAATACAAATTCTAATTTTGTATTTCCTGATGCTTTCTAATATATTTTG